AGTTCGATCGAGATTTTTTGGTAGGGGTTCGAGGGCCCCCTGAGCGCGAGGACCCCGGGGCACTGCCCCGCCTAGCTCCTAGGTAGCTATGTCTCTGGACGTGAGTGACAGTGCAGGAGGGTGATATCAGAGAAATAAAACATTTGTAAGACTTTATAATGCTTTATTCAATTAATCAAATGCATTTTGGTTTCGTTTTACAATTATTATCTAGGTATATATATCATATATTATCTAGGTATAGTATAGTATCCATACAAGTTCCGCAAACGGTTCGTATACGGAACTAGACAAGACTGACTGATTGAAGAACAGCAGTTACAATAATACACATCATAAACAATCATATACATTACACTAGCCAATATAAATATAATAAGACATTGTTATTTTACAATTTAGTGATATTATTTCATTAAGCTCTTACAATAGTACCGCCGCCATCCGCGGATATGATAGTCCACCAGTCCGTCTACTGGTGCGTGCGTGCACAGCGCACACGGCCGGGGCGCAGCACGGGGCCCCCGGGGCCCCCGGGGCCCGCTCCTCTCGATCGCACCACACTACATATACTTTGACAAAACATATACGCAGACATCTCATCAAATCTCATAGATTTGAAAAATGCTGTTGAATTAATTTACGAGTAAATGTAGTGTATGGATTGCTTCTTCCTTAGTGTTTCAGCGCTTACAATAATCGATCGTCTTTTAGTTAATTAAACTGAATCATGAACATTGATTAAATAAATGTTCATGATTCAGAAACTACTCTCAAGCGTGGTTGTTTTTAAATAAACTCTACGTCGGTCAAGTTTGAACATTGTTAAGCAAATGAACGAATAATTATTATTACTACTAATTTAATTCGAATCCATTCAAACCAATAATGTACCTACCATCTGTAATATACACACATATTGTTATATACATAGGGGGCAGGCCGTATGCACTGTGCAGCCACGGCACAACTGATCTCACTATACAAACGGGCCCAGTGTGAGCTGCGACCGGAGGCTCGCAGTAGCGGCGGCGCGGCGGCGCCGGTACAATATATACAGTTCATACATAATACGATCGCAGTAAACATGCCTCGATTTTGGTTATTGGAAACAGCCGTGAAAATAGTTTAATATACAACTATTTTAAAATTTAGACATATATAATAAACCCATTATCGCAACGGGTCAGATTCGCCCCACTGTTGGCCAGAGGCAGGGATTTTCGCAAAACTCTATGCCACCTCGCACGACGGGGCCTGTAGGTCCCCTCGCGTATTCTTGTCACTCACACACGGTACTCTAGGCTTCTATCTCTTTCTGGCCTCGATGACTCGTTCCCCTAGGGGCACTCTCTACACGTGATAACTCTGTCACCGCGCAGATAGACGTACTAACATTTAGAAGTCTTGAAAGCGTTATATATATAATGTACACTCTGGTCGGGTGTATACAATTCACATACATAAGTATCAGCGCTTCAAACACTACGTCTACACAATTATATAAACAAAGTTTAAAGTACAATATTACCACAACCATAAACAAAATCTAAAACGAAGCAGCATTTAAGAATAATCGTATCGATAATAATTATCTATGTTTATTAATATAATAATGTAACATGCTCACAGATGTACTTTGTCAAAGGAAGAACAGAGAAGAACCTGTGTTAAGTTCACAGACAACACCTACCATGAATGTGAATTACGAATAAAATATCTGGAATATTTTCATACAATTATTCTATTTGTTAAATATTTACATTATCTCGTGCTATAATAGTTTAATGTCTTTTTTGCAAATGTATCTCATTTCTAAAAGTAGTTTTTAATTTGTTGCACGACACATCGCCTATCTATACAATGTACGTTCACATAATACTGTTTGACACAATCTACTGTAAGTTCTACGAGTTAGGAATAATATCAACGAGTACGTACACATACATCGCAGGCTGCGCGGGGGGAGGGGGGGGGGAGTGTCTGCCGCGTACTCTGTATACAGCGCGGCGAGACGAGATGAGACGAGACGAGACGTCGTAACACCGAGACACGTGGCTCGCCCGCTCTCGTAGCATCGTTCATAACCGTAGTTGCCACTGCACAATACGCTAAAGCAAATACTTGGCACATCGTTCGTATTTCATGAGCGTGTTGTGACAGCGATCTCAAGTTGTCCGGCCGCACTGTACGATGTGCACTGTATACGAGTACGCGGTGCGTACACTGGTGCGCTAGTGCGCTCACGTGGTCTCGTTTACTACGTACCACCACTCACTGGGTCTACATTGCGTCGTGATCGTCCCACGCCACCGTAATGCACTCCACAAAGCTTAGTAAATAGATTTTGAGACAAAACTATCGTCCGATCGCACGTACACTAAAAGTAAAATTAAGCAATAAATAGGATACGGCAGAAGCGAAGGTGTCTCTCTTGTCAGCTCCGAGCGGCGGGACTGTCTTCCCTCGCTTCCCCGAGGTCAGGTACTATTTATTAAGACTAAAATGTTTCCGAAGCGGTTGTCATGAAACACCTTTATGATATTATGACGATATATTTGTTCACTTTGTATCGTTAACGTACAATCTACGCACGTGTGTTGTATATAATAAATAAGTATTACAACTAATATTGTTATTATGCAACAAACAGTTCGCGTGTACACCTGCCGACGACGACTGCGACCGATGTGAAAATCTTTATATATAAAAGTTACGTGTCACGTTGTTTGTCCGCGATGGACTCATAAATTACTGAACCGATTGCAAATTTGATTTCCACATTGTGTGCAATTTGATCAAACTTGAAAGATAGGATAGCTTACATCTCAATTTATAGTCGCAACATTATTTTATTCCAGCACCTTAGCTACAGCAACGCGTGGCCGGCCGGGTCTACTGGTCTAAAATATGAATTCACATGATAACATAGACGATCTATGTTCCATACGAGTGTGGACACTATCATTCCACCGCCTCGCTCTGTGAGAACCGTGCCAGAGAGAACGGACCGACCGATATTTCCATCTGTCCTCACATGTCTCTGGTTTCCTTCACTTTCATAACTCTAGTAACACTCGCACGCCACCTCCGGCGATGGACTGCACTCTCGGATAATATTCGTTTCATCTGGCGCTCGATTCTCTAACGCGATTGCCATTAAATCTTATTTAAGAAACATAGATCAACATTTTTGCAATTAATAATGCACCATTTCAAAGACGTAATTACAACCCGAGCTACACGGGTCGCTACTACGACTACAATACGCAACACGAATGATGCTGTTCGAGTTTATTTCTGCACCGAGTTACGACTCGGAGGGAGCGCACGTGGCGTGTGCGACGCCCCACGCGTCCACCACCGACGGCTTCACTCGCCGACACTGCTACATGAAAATAGAAAATCTTTGAAGCATATTTACACAAGCTTAGCTCGAAATATTACGGCAATGAGTAAACAAAATAATATCATCAATTCAAATTGACTCAATCGACTGTACTCTAGCAGAGTATCTACAATATTGCACTGACACGTATTATGCTAATTATCGACAAATATATATCGTAAATAAAACTAGAATGAAAGACGAGGGTGGCCCCTGTGTCAGTAAAAGGAAGTATAGCTTACTCGGCGGAGTATTAAGTATCACATTTACAACGAATAAGGAACCGGAAGCGGCAGCGGGCAGGCTGCTCCGCATCACGAATAGAACGACACGCAACCACGGTGCGAATCACAAACAATACGAGTATATTTATGCAATACAGAGCCACACGCACACGCAAGCACGCACGCATGCACACACATCGCATACACGCACATGCTTTCATATAATTTAAGGCAACGCTCAATGTGAGTGCAGGCGAGGCCGCGCCGCCACGTGCACTCACTCAGTCGCAACCACGCGGCCACGTGCGGGTCCGATGCACCGGCCCGACCACCAACTATCCGCTACGGGGGGGTGGGGTCAGTAGTAATGGACTAGTTACCCCACCGATAGCTATGTACTCGTATCATGTCAGGTCGATCTCCATGCGATTCCCATTGGAAACCACCGTGATAAATTCCTGATAATTTAGTCACTATTACTAGTGTTATCCTCCACTGGTGCGTAAACAGTTAGCGCGGGGGGGTGCCCGCTCGTTCGCCCGTTCCTGTACACTGCCGGTGAATATTAACCGTACACAATACGCACTACTGTTTTTAAAATTGAAAGATATATCTATTGGTAATCGATATCAAGTCCATAGAATCGTAGTAAGCATTGTGAGGAAACCGCAGTCGTTTCTCCATTGATGCTTGAAAATATGTCCCGAGACCGCGGCGGCCCGCCTTCTCTCCCGGGCGGGGACTGGCGGCCGGTGGCCAGCATCAGTCGCTCCTCGCTGAAATCGGTTCAAATTAAAATAATATTAAAACGTGTCATCCATCTCTGTACTTAACAAACCTGTCCTGTGCGCGAGATATCTTATTAATATTATAAACCAGATACATATATAATAGTTTGTAAATATGAATGGATGTTTGTCACTCTTTCACGCAAAAACTAGTAATCGGCTTTTGATGAAACTTTACAATAACATAGCTTACATATATATATATATACATAATAGCTGTGCTCGACAAACATTGTTATGCCATATACATTTAAATACTAATATCGCAATTAAAAAATAAGGGTTGGTGGTAGAAGGATTTTTAGGGAGGATCGCGGGGTCCGGTCGGCGCTACGCGTAGTGGCGGTCGTCGCGCAGCATGGGCTCGTCGTCGTCGGCGGGGGGCGGGGCGGCGGGCCGCACAGTGGGGGTCGCACCTGGGGGGTCGGGGGGTCGCGGGGTCCGGTCGGCGCTACACGTAGTGGCGGTCGTCGCGCAGCATGGGCTCGTTGTCGTCGGCGGGGGGCGGGGCGGCGGGCCGCACAGTGGGGGTCGCACCTGGGGGGTCGGGGGGTCGCGGGGTCCGGTCGGCGCTACACGTAGTGGCGGTCGTCGCGCAGCATGGGCTCGTCGTCGTCGGCGGGGGGCGGGGCGGCGGGCCGCACAGTGGGGGTCGCACCTGGGGGGTCGGGGGGTCGCGGGGTCCGGTCGGCGCTACACGTAGTGGCGGTCGTCGCGCAGCATGGGCTCGTCGTCGTCGGCGGGGGCGGGGCGGCGGGCCGCACAGTGGGGGTCGCACCTGGGGGGTCGGGGGGTCGCGGGGTCCGGTCGGCGCTACACGTAGTGGCGGTCGTCGCGCAGCATGGGCTCGTCGTCGTCGGCGGGGGGCGGGGCGGCGGGCCGCACAGTGGGGGTCGCACCTGGGGGGTCGGGGGGTCGCGGGGTCCGGTCGGCGCTACACGTAGTGGCGGTCGTCGCGCAGCATGGGCTCGTCGTCGTCGGCGGGGGGCGGGGCGGCGGGCCGCACAGTGGGGGTCGCACCTGGGGGGTCGGGGGGTCGCGGGGTCCGGTCGGCGCTACACGTAGTGGCGGTCGTCGCGCAGCATGGGCTCGTCGTCGTCGGCGGGGGCGGGGCGGCGGGCCGCACAGTGGGGGTCGCACCTGGGGGGTCGGGGGGTCGCGGGGTCCGGTCGGCGCTACACGTAGTGGCGGTCGTCGCGCAGCATGGGCTCGTCGTCGTCGGCGGGGGGCGGGGCGGCGGGCCGCACAGTGGGGGTCGCACCTGGGGGGTCGGGGGGTCGCGGGGTCCGGTCGGCGCTACACGTAGTGGCGGTCGTCGCGCAGCATGGGCTCGTCGTCGTCGGCGGGGGGCGGGGCGGCGGGCCGCACAGTGGGGGTCGCACCTGGGGGGTCGGGGGGTCGCGGGGTCCGGTCGGCGCTACACGTAGTGGCGGTCGTCGCGCAGCATGGGCTCGTTGTCGTCGGCGGGGGGCGGGGGCAGCAGGCCCCACAGCCGGCACTGGAACAGCTCGGCCGCGTTCCGCAGGGGGCCGCGCGTGAAGGGCGAGCGTCCGCCGCGCTCCTGGAAGTGCCGGTAGCGGCCGCGGTTCAGCTGCTCGTTGGTGGTCATCCCCAGGCACACCACCTGCACACGCCGCAGACAAACGCTCACCCCCGGGAGACGGAGTCCGGACCGGGACGACGACCCACGCTCGATTCGTCGTTCGTGGTTGCGTCCGGTACGAGGTTACAATTACAGACACAAAATAAATTGTTTTAAAATGTAATAAACAGTAGTATCATCTCGCCGCGGCCACGCACGCCCGCACCATCGCCGGTACTAATGATAGTGATGACAGTAATCGTCTTTTATAAATTTAGTTTACATAGTTGTCACTGGATGGCGCTGTTCAATTTCTACAACGCGATATTATTTCGTTTTGTAGTTACTGAGGCGTTGTAAAATTTATTATTTGTTAGAAGCTTTCGATCTGTTTACATTACTGTACATATTGTTATTTTATTATTGTGTTAATTGTGGTAATTACGATCCCATTACACTTTTGTCGAAAAGTAAAGTGTTTTAATTCTCCTGACTTTGATTAAAGTATTTGAAGTGTGTGTGTGTGTGTTATAGTAATATAGGTATACATCAAAATTATAAATGCAGCTAGTTACAATATATATTAGTGGCAGACGAATATGTCACTTACACGTAATGTCAACAACAAAGGTACGGGAACATATAATCGGATGGGTATGCGGGGGCTCACCAAGTAGATCTGGCAGCAGAGCAGCACGGCGACCCAGAAGAGGTGGAAGGTGGCGTTGAGCATCACCCACACGAGCCAGGCGTTGCACTGCGGCCAGCGGAGCGCCCCCCCACAGGACTCCTCCAGCGCGCGCGCGCCGCCCCACAGCATCCACGCGCACATCACCACCAGGCTCGCCAGGAACCCCACGAAGTACCGGTGGTTCTTGGCGCCTGCGCACGCACACACCCACGCCTTGCACTACACTCCACCGCACCAGCCGAGCGTGCCACAACAACAACAACAACCACAACAACAACGAGCCACTCGCGTGGCTGTGTTTCGGTTGGAGGAGTACGGCGACGGTGTCATAGTACTCGGCTGCAGAGGATCTAGCACGAACGACAGACCCGGAGGGGGCCTGCGCCAAAAGATGAAGGATTTTCCGCTATTCGGCGTAGCGGAACGTTTTCTAAATCGTCGATAGATTCAAAGATAAAACTGTAATAATTATACCATGTAACCGAATAGCTGAACTTTGGAATAAAATGTTTTTATTATTAGAATGTTATTATTACGATTAAAGGCTGAGCAATAACTTGTCAGTTTAATTACAATATATAAAAACTTGACACCTTAGTCTCCCGTACACCTCTCGAGCGATATACCTCGTGTATGGCTTATGCTGCCACTCCGGCGACACACGACGATTATAATGTCTGTGATACATTGAGGGATGGTTTCCACTTACCAGGTGTACCGTCAGGTACTTATCAGGTGGACCGTCAGCTTTTTGCCATGCCAATTACCATAAAATAATATAATATAAACATGTAAGAGAGTGTCATAATTCTAACTTAAAATTGGTTGTTAACATGATCATCACTTTTAGATGTCCAGATCATCCATAAACGGAACTATAGTATAGTGTGTAGGACAATTCACGCGGTGTCATCCGAGTCCCCGGACGAGCGAAGGAGTACTTAGATACATTTTTGGTAAACCCATACTTTATATACGATACGACGAGAGCGCATGGCAATAGTCGTTCGACCAGTTTTCAATTAGATCAAAAAAATTGACGTTCATAGGCGGCTAAAATGACGTACATGAATAAATGATTTTAGAATAGTATAGGTAATAGTGTAGGTAGGTGGGGGTACGGACCGATGCAGTTCCCGACCCAGGGGCAGTGGTGGTCGAAGCGCGCGACGCAGCGGTTGCAGACGGAGCAGTGCTTGGAGCGCAGCGGACGCCGCACCAGGCACGCCGAGCAGAACCGGCCCGGCTCGAACCCCCCGCGGCTCGACTCCGACAGCTCGATGATGGTCTGGTGGATGGCGGCGACACGACAAAACGACAAGCTTCGTATAACACTTCATTAACGTTGCGAAACGGCCGACATCCGCCGAACGCGGTGATGCGGCTCGAATCAACGGATGGTAATTTATGATGGCTTCGGCAGATTACGGGGTGTAGAGAATGATAAATTTGATTGCTATCTTAAATTTAATGGTAATCTATATATATATAACTCAAAGGTGACTGACGTAGTGATCTATCGACGCACAGCCCGAACCACTGGACGGATCTGCGCGGACTGAAATTTGGCATGCAGGTAGATGTTATGACGTAGGCATCCGCTAAGAAAGGATTTTGATTTTTTTTACCCCCAAGGGGATAAATTAACGCTAGCGAAGCCGCGGGCAAAAGCTAGTGCTATTATAAATTACAAATTAGGATGAGAGAAGAAACGTACGTTGCGTGGATCGATTAGATTTTTAAGTCGAATTTACATTGATGGGTGTGCACTCCAATCAGAACGGCCTTATTGTGTTGCGTTTTGTTGCTGCTTGTACGCGACACTCACTAATATTATAAACGCGAAAGTTTGTGAGTATGGATGTATGGCAACTTGTTACTCTTTTCCGACGAAACATCTGAACGGATTTTATTGAAATTTTACAATAACATAGCCAGTAATTTATAAATTTTAAACGTGTCTTTGGAAAATACAGTCTATGAATTAAAAATAATATTAACCTGACGTGACGAGACGTGTATCATGTCAAAACAATCGTACTGATATTTTATAAAATAGTGAAAGCTTCTAAGTTTCTAGTTTTGAAGTTTAAAATTTCCCAAAGTATTATGAATACTATTTACAACTGTAATTTAGAGCGTACATACGGATACGGAGATAATACAAAAAGAAGGGGGCGCAATCTTTTTCCTTAAAAGAAACCTTTTAATTGACCAGTCGTATTTTTATGCTGAGATTATGAGGAGAGTAGGTACTGACTCTGAACTTGTCGTCCTTGGAGGCGGTGATGACGCCGGGGTCGCTCCGCCACGAGCGCAGGAACGTGTACCAGAGCGCGCCCGAGCTGGCCACGAACGCCAGCGACACGGCCGAGCTCACCACGCCGCCCACGTACACCGCCCACGTTATGTAGAACCACACCTGCAACGCATTAACTCTTAATACATCATACGGCCCGTCTCATGCTAAATGTTGTGTTACTGTAGCCTATGGACGTATGAAACACCAGGAGTGTTACTAGCGAGTCTTAAAAAACCCCATCAAACCCCATCCAAACGAGTCAGCATGGAGCTAACATGCTCACTACTGTGCTAAGCTCCTAAATAAATAAAAAGATAAAACCCCATGCTGGTAGATCATTCGACATACATAAAGACATTATTGTGTAAGTACACACATAATATAGTATATATATACATGAAGCAGCCAAATAAATATGTAGCGCAGTGGTTATATTATTTGTAGTAGTATGTAGATAGTGAGTATACCGGTAAAATGATTGCACTATTTATTAGACATTACTAAGTATATTGGTAGTTGCTACATGGTTTATTAATGACGCGTCCAGTCGACGCGGAGTCGGGACGTAGACTGATTTTACACTGATCTTAAATCTATGTTAGTGGAGACGAAAACTAATGGAAGGATCTCAAGTGTCGACAGAAATATTACAAGTGTAGGCACAAATACAACAATCATACTGTATAAGTACAAATGTTTGTATCGGGCGAGGAATAGAACCCTCGACCATCGGAATTGAGGCCCTGTGCTAAACCACTAAACCATAGAAGTCTTCAAAATAGTACACGTATAATAAAAATAACATCAACAGTCAAAGTATTAACTTAGAAAATGATGTAAGGAAAATAATAACTGTAACAGTACAACTATATGAACAGCTGGTAATAATTACTGAACTAAGCAATACGTAGACAATTCTCAAACCAATACAAACAGACAAATATACTCTCTACCTACATTAACAAATGAAACTAGTGTTAGATAGTATTAGGCTGCATCCAGAGATAAACAGAAAGCATTTTAGTTTACACTTTTCCCGTGATATATTTGTGCTAAAAATAGTGTAATATATTGTTAGAATATTATTGCTGTTGTGAATGAAGTGAGCAATATTTCGGGCACTACTAGCGATACGATAGGGTAAGAACAGGCTCACACTCGTGCAATCATCGAATCGATGTGTAACATTAAAAAAAAAAAAGAACTTGGGAATCCCTTATGTAACATTCAGTTTATGTTGGCTTCATATTAGCTTTTCTTCAATTGTTTTCTAATTTTGTAATTTGTGTATTATTTCTATTTCTATGTTAGTTTTTATTAAGTTTATAACATGTTTGTGCAGTTATTTCGACAAACAATAGATGTCAGTTGGAACAAGGTTATACTAAAAACTAATATTCTTTATTTATGTGTGTCTGTGAACTAGCGTTGCCAGACGTCCCGTATTTCCCGGGACGTCCCGTATATTAGGTTTAGTTTAACATGTCCCGGCGGGACTGACTCTGTCCTGTATTTGAATCGTGCTCCGTTTTTTATTATTAAATCGATCGATCGATCGATGCTAGTCAAAAATACTCGTTTGTATCCCTAATTTAATAAAAAGCGAGTTTTAATTACGATTATAATTGTATTGATTTTTATAAACATGTTAAAACTAATATATATGTATTAAAGCTGACTTGATGCTCAGAAAATATATATAAAAATAAAGAATGTCCTATATAATTGTGTTTTGTTATTTGTCCCGACTCCCGGGTAAAAAACTAAATTCCCGTATATTTTTGCCTATTTAAGCATTAGGCTGAAGAAAATCTGTCAACTCTACTGTGACCGTTTACTATTGGACTCACCTTCGTAGCCAAGTAGACACTGAGCGGAAATATGTTCTTAAGATCATCGTCAAATAGCACATTTGATAAAAAGTGAAGCAGTGCATAGAAACAAAGTAGAAGGAACAGCTTCAGTATGTAGATCGCTTCCATCTCCAAGATAAGCCCCGTCAAGTAGAACGCTATGAATGGCATCACCACCACACACCACCATCTGAACTTCTGAAATAGTAAACATTCGCAATGAACAAGTGACACCGTCACATGCTACTGTGGTCACAACATAAACTATTTCACAAATACATTAGTAATTGTATGTGTGTGTGTGTGTGTGCGTGCGTGCGTGCGTGTGGTCGTGTGTGCGTGTGTGTGTGTTTATGTGTGTGTCTTCAACGTAAATAAAATTTGTATCTATCTAAACCATATAGTTTTTGCATATTAATTTCTAACCACAATATGTTGAGTAAGTTGTTGTTTATAAATGACTATTCAAAAGTGCTTACATTAGATTTATTTGAATACAGATTATTTCTATTTCATTCTGCATGTTCAAGCAGATCTTTTCACTCTCAGACAACTCACAAAGGACTTCATAAACTTCTTTTTCTATGATAGATGTATGAATGTATGGTTTTGATTTTTCTAATAGATAGAGCGATTCGAGAGGAAAGTGTATATGTATAATATATGTACATCCGTGCGAAGCTAGCTACCCACCCCGGGGTAGCTAGTTAAATAAAAACCACATTTTATCTAAACCACCCTTGCATTACAAGGAACAATTTATTTTTAGTAGGAAACAGTAATATTAATGTTTTAGTCATACCATAACATTTGGCCATTAACAGTGATGACAATCCTTATAATTACTTTGGAAATATTACGTTTGCGTATAAAAGCTCTCCTTACTTAAATTACTAAATGGTACAAGCACTACTATTTTAGATTACCATTACAGGTGGTCATACATATAGACTCAATTCTCTAAACAATTGTGCCTCCTCCTTCTTCGTAGCGATTCATTGGTCGAAGTTGTGTACGGCATTTTAAATCGGCGGATTGGGATGAGATGCCAAGTTTTTTTTGCAATTTACCTGAGTTTTACTTGGCGAGTTTGCTTCGCACTGGACGATACCAATGCAATAGCTGAATCTGTTACCGATTTAGTACTTCAGGGAACGGAGATGTTTATTCCGAATTCCCAGGTACCTTTCATCAGAATCCAGAGCTTTCAAGACGTCCATAAGTCAAGTGGGCCCGACGGCATCCCTGCTATTGTGCTTAGTACGTGTGCACCTGAGGTGGCTCCAGTACTAACGCGTCTTTTCGGGTATCTGATCCGGCTATTTCTGATCGTTAGTATGGATTTCGCCAGGGTCGCTAAGCTGGTGATCTTCTAGTGCCCTTAACACATCGATGGGTAGAGGCAGTTGAGAGAAAGGGGGAGGCACTTTTCGATTTTTTTTAATTTAATACTGTGTAAGGGCGCCTGTTTCTGATAAACCTGTAGGATTGCAAGCATTGAAATAGGAATGTTTCTCATTAACAGTCGCGGCATCAATACACAGTCCCAATTAAAGAATTAAAGAATGTCCTTCTAAAGTTCCTCCCGCATCAATCCTAGTGAAGTTATGTATTTATTTCATTACAGGTTTATGTTTTTGTTAATTATATGAAACATAGATTACATCATGTCGAGAAATACCTGGAGCGGGAACTCGATCATGGTTGAGACGAAATCAGGAGAAGAAATGAAAATATGATCAATCTAGTGATCTAAACTATCAAGAGAGTTTATGATCATATGGGTGGGGCCAATCCGCAGTAATGTTAATCCACTGAATTCATAATGTGACAGAGTATTATTTATGTATGTTACACTAATTGTCTTTTTTAGCTAAATCAGTATTATGAGAATTTTGGAATACTAATAAGGGTGACAGTTCAAATGCATGAAGTAATTTTTAATAAAGAATACTTGTATGACAGACATTTTACTGTATTAGTAAACACAACTATAGTCTATTTTATAATCCCAGAGACAAATTTAACATTCCCGAGGTTGGCAGGATTTCACATTTTTTTAATAGGATTGTGGTTCCTAATTTGTCTTAATTGAACAACTGTCTATCAATAAAAAATACAGTTTTATAATTTTAACAAAAGTATTTTCCATTTTCTTTCAATATTTTTCTACTCTGTCTATATTCTAAGTTATTTTTAATTAATATTGTTAAATTAGATGTTTTGACTTTATTCAATGTACAGAATCTAGCATAATAAAAAATAAAATATATAAACAGATAATGTAAGTCAGAATATCATGATAAAGCAGTAGCAGAGTGTGAGTTCCCTGATTGCACAGTGTTATTTAAGAAAACGAACTGAAGTTGTACCTTGTCATATGTTAACCGTCTCCATATATTGCGCCTAGTTGAAGAAAGAGCATGCTCTTTTATTTTTTCAGACACCTTGGAGCCGATCCACAATGAGTCTGCGTTGCTCTGTAACATCGCCAGCGGAGTGACAGATCGCAGGTTTGGCACGTCCAGGCTGGCATTGCCCTATACACAGGAGCTACATTAAAATGCATCTTAAATGAAGTACTCACCGGTCAGTTAAAATTTTACATATCCACTTACATAGAGAATGAGCGTAGATATTGCAGTGGCATTTCTAGCAAGTATTGCCCAATGCAAGGCAGTGTTGCCATGCGAGCGGTCCGTGGGCTGCGTGGAGGCTCCCAGGGTCAGCAGCAACCGTGTCGGATCTACTGATGACACCTTCCAACACGACCACATGAGTGGTGTCATGCCGCCAGCATCGGGCTCATCCGCCAACACTCCCCGCGCTACCAGGTACGCCACTACAGCCGTGTGGCCGAATTGCGCCGCCAAATGCAAACAAGCACAGCCCTCAGCGTCGCGCACCATCGGGTCCGCGCCGGCGCGCACCAGTAGCACCGTGGCCTCCAAGTGGCCCTGCCTCGTCGCCCAGTGCAGCGGTGTAGATTGCAACTCACCGCCCACCGCGTCCACCACGGCACCCTTCGACAGCAAGTACTGAATAATCTCTCGCCTGTTATTAATGGCAGCCCAATGAAGTAAAGTAACCGTTTCACTATCCGGCTGGTTCACATCCCATCCTGCTTCCACCAGTTCCTTCACCCGTAGAAAAGCACCATATTGAGTAGCCTTAACTATATCGAAACCGCTGTAATCTCGTTCCAGCGGTACATGGGGCGGCTCGCGAGGCGGAGGCCCATCACCGTCGTGCTGCGCCTTGCCGCACTGCCCGCTGGCAGCGGCACCGCATGTGCTGTCATACATGCTTCACCTATGCCACTCCCGGTGAAATAAACATTATAAAAATCTAACTATGAGAACAATAACAATTCCACTTATAATGGTTCCGTAAAATCAAATCACAATCACAAAGATAACTGCGAACACAGACTAAACTTACTGCGAATCACTTTTTGGTTGTCAAAAATATCAATATGTGAAGTCGAATATAGCTGTCAAAAAATGACAATGTAAACTGAAGTTGTTTCCTGCGTAGTGATTACTTGCTTGAAAAATGCTAATACTTGCAACAGATTGCCACAATTACTCTCCTATGAGCCCTTGGACTTAGTGATTCTATTTTCTTCATAAGCATGCCAATATATAAATAAAGTTGTCATGACAAGAATAATTGTACTTAAGGTGTCTAATATTATAAATAACACGGTTATATGAAATTATTTAGTATATTAATAAACTGTAGTACAATAGGTCCATATTCCATCGTTGCAAATTCAACAATTATAAATTTTAACACACACATATACCTCCTTATTGCGGCGAGGGTTGCTAAGAGTACATTATTACGTTATATTTTGCTAGTGTTTATGTTGATTTTTAACAAATTTGTTTATTTGACAATGTCGGAGTCTAATGGCAAAAGAATTTTTCAAATCGGTATCTCCCAGTTGTGTTAGGGGTACCGCATAGAGCAAAAGATGTGTTAGGGGTAGGTACTAAACAACTGATAGGAATACTTGAATACATTATGTATACCTAGTACCTACATAATATACTTTCAAAACACTCAGACCAGCATAAATAACTATATTTACAATTGCACCGTGCGAGGAATCAATAATCGAATCCATGATCGTCGGAAAAGAGAGATATACTAAAACATTTTTTTGCAATATATGTTCTGCTAATAGTCCTAAGTTACTGGGATTTTATATATGAACGAACTCAGAATGTGGTGTACATTCTGTTAGTCTTAAAAATGATTTCATTTAATTATTAATATTTCTCCTTTTTATCTGCACAGTTTAAAAGTATAAAAAATAATGAAGTTTCATATCCAACACGAATCCCTACAGAATACTGTTAAAGTATCAAGCTTTTGTGACATAAATTTCATAGTGCGCTGGGCGTAATCATTTGTAATTGTCAAACTAATCTGATAGAAGATGGTAGCCTCGTTCTCTACCAAAATATTACATATTCAGCGATATATCATCGGAGACGAACAAAGTCCCACTCGATGGTAAGTAAAAACCGTCGCCGATATACATGACCACTACCACTGATATATATCACATTATCACGTCATCACCATTCCGGAAGGCTCAGATGTCATGCCACCGTGCCCTGGCATTTCACTGCTTTACGATGTTTATCATCGACAATTCGTCAGATTACACACACACTTGTAACTAGTCATAATAATCTGATTGAAAGTAGCAAATCTAACATCACCTGACGTAGACTTTGTGCAGACGTCCGTGTAGGTGCCTCGTTCTTACCTTATTTAACTGCTTGGGGAAGATAAGGCAGTGAAACTACAGGTAAAAGTGACAACCCATGGGCAGGTACCCGTGACTCCATTCATTTATACTGTTGTTACCGCTCTACACCGGACGGGCCACTAGCATGTTCCTATTTCCCTTATAAATACACACCCATATTGCCCATATTAAAGAAGTTTACTATGTGCTTAGTACCCTCAGTACATATATAGGCATATTAGATATCGCTGTATTGAATAGAATAGAATAGAAAATCATTTATTCAAATAAACTTAAATTAAGCACTTTTGAATAGTCATAGTTATCATTCGGAAAGTTGTCTCTTCACAAGAAGAACGAGCAAGAAACTTGTGCGTGGTTCTTTTAAATAAACATTCGTGCGAATACAAACCACTAACTAGCTCTAATTTTTAGGGTCAAATATTAAATATACAATAGGATTAAAACACTCGTAGTGAGTAGAGCAGACCAGTGCCTACAAGCAGAACTCGTTCGCGAGTATGACGTATGACCTGTTTTTCCGTTTTTGCAATTTTACATTACAACTCCGCTCCTATTCAGCGTAGCGTGATCTTATATAGCTTGTGACACTCATCATTAACGTGGCTTCGAATAGGTAAAAGAATTTTCAAAATGTTCATTAGACTCAGAGATTACAACCTCACATACTTTACCTCTTTCTCTAATATTAGTATGGCCACAGATAAAATAGTGTTATAGTGTAATATTATGTTATCTGTGGTGTTACATTATTAATTATATGTGTTATATTATTATCTGTGCCGGCGTATTTCTGCGCCACCTATTGATGATTATCCAAAGACTTATTAGTACAACAAAAAACATCTGTACCCAAGATAACTCCACTACACATAGCAATTTACGTTACCCCTTAGGGGGACATTTTTCGTCGTTGTATAGTGAATATGTTGGACTCGTTGAACTAATTAAACATCATATTCTGTGAAAATTTAATTCCCAATCCCTGCAGCAGTCTTTACTTGAATCTTTAGCACACGACAACATTCGCGTCGTAACAATATTACATGTTCATCTATACATATAAATAAAATTGGAATGTCTGTTTGTAATATTGAAATAACCATTTTTTACTACATGCTTATGAATATAAATACGGTACATACACCAAAATATTTTTTTTTTTACTATTTTTGTCTGTCTGTCTGTTTGTTCCGGCTAATGTCTGAAATTGCTGGACCGATTTTGAAGGGACTTTTTTTGGCAGGTAGCTTATGTAGTAAGGAGTAACTTAGGCTACCTTTATTTTAGAAAAATAAAGTTAAATTCCAAAGAAGACAGCTAGACGGGTGCAGCAAGTTACATATAAAGACAACTTTATTGTCTAGTGTGTAGTTAAAGTAGGATGTACAAGTCTGCACAGTCTGTTGTTACGGCACTGTTACTAGCTCCACTCTCGACTCCGGTACATACCGTGTGCCATTCGTACAAGAATCGAACCCTAAATTTAGCAATACTGTCAGTTTTAGACTTCACAAGTTGGGTGCTTGACGGACGATCAGTGCTGTTGAAGTCCAATATTTTACCAGGTTACCTGTTCTAACACCATCGGCAAACAACTCGCGCAGGCTCGTACAAATTCGTCCATTTTCTGTGATTAATATACAACTTCGCCAGACACTCGACTAATTTATTTTGTGTAACTGATGTCAGTGAACCTGAAGGTCCACATGATAGTGAGTTGTAACCGTCACCTGTATGAACACCATCAAATCACTATGGATGCGACATGTGACCTCCATGGGTGCCACGGAGGTCACACATGGTGTCGCGGGGGTTTATCAAATTTTAGAAATCCGCTCACATATCAAATCTAATCAAATATCATTTATTCATGTTGGGCATTTTCGCCGCATATGAACGCCAAATTTTGTATTCTTATTTATATTTTTCCCTATCGTCCAGTTCAGTATATAGATTCAATTGAGAAGTGGTAAGAAACTCTACTCAATTTAAAAAAGCCAGTTTATTTACATTTGAAATAGAAATAGAAATAATCTTTATTCAAATAAACTCATTACAAGCACTTTTCAATAGTCATATTTTGATACTATCACTCATTCGGAATGCAGATTCATCACATGAAGCTTGTGTAAACATGAACATTGTGTACTTATGTAGATGTCTATGTTTATATTTTTTAAAGTGTATCACTTGTTCTTCGGTTGGTGGGCCTGGTGATCTGTACAGTTAAGTTACAGGTTGTATCCATCGCAGACACCAGCTTCTCACAACAATTGATTGTAATGGTAAAATTATGCAATATATTATCTAAAATACTACATGTAACTGTTCCCAACGTGTACAATGTTTGTGAGGAGAAATAAATAAAATATATTATTATTATTAACATTAAGTGAAAATCACGTGCATGGACTATCATTGCCATGCACGTTCGTTACTCAACTAATCGTTTAGAATGTAATAGGTTTTGCTCATACACGATTTAACATATTTTGAACATACTGCGGGTATTTGAATTGTATAGAATACGACTCTATTGGTCAGAATGTAGGTGACGTAGGAGGCTAGCGCACACCTATATGCACAGTGAATAATGTTTAATTCATCTTCATATGGATCCTCATATATTTAGTGTGGATTACATAATATTATATATTCATTATATTTAATCTACCTGTAAAGATATGAAAATAAAGCTAAAACTTTGCACATCTACTTATGTTCTTCGTCTGTTCTAACAAAATAGTGCATTTTATTACTGTGGTCGTAGGGGCCCCCTTATCCTAACGCGCCCGGGGCTTCCAATAGGCGAAAGACGTCTCCGGCCGGCGGGCGACGTCCACGGGGAGCGGTACGCGTCGCGGGACGCACGGGAATAGTGAGAAATAAAGGTCGCCACAAACAGAGATCGAATCGTAAAGCTTTCAGTTTATTAGTTAAACAAATATCACTTTTATTTACAACCAAAGCGATCACAAATTATAAGGGTAAACTAAACGTAATGACCTAAAACTACTTAACAGATCGAAATATGTACAATAGAATTAACAACTTGTCGGTCGGCCGGGCGCTCGGTGCGGCGAGCGAGCGGCGCGCGTGCGGCGGACGTGCGGCGCGCGGGCGGCGCGCGGGCGGCGCGCGGGCGGCGGGCGGGCGGCGCGAGGGCGGCGGCGGGGCGGCGGCGGCGGCGGCGCGGCCGGCCGCGTCACGCGGTGGCCAGCGGCTGCGTCACCACCGGCGAGCGGCGCCGCGGCGACGGCTCGTCGTCCGCGCCCCCGCCCCCGCCGCCCCCGCCCCCGCCGCCCCCCTCGCCGCCCGCCGCGTCCGACAGCCGCAGCGCCGTCTCCAGGTCGCGCAGCACCTGTCAAACGTTAGGACACTCGTAAATACATACACGACGCGGTTGCGGGTTCGATTTCTCGCACGGCACAAATATTTGTATTCATGAGTACGATTGTTTGTATCGGTCTAGGTGTTTTCTATGTATAATATGTATGTAAGTACTTACGAAAAATAAATCTATGTACTTGTATCAGTTATCTAGTACCCGTAACACAAGCTTTAGATAGCATAACTTGGGACTAGATGGCGCTGTGTGTGTGATTGTCCTGAGATTATTATTATTATTATTTTAAAAAGTAAAACATTCAAACTTTCCCTTCCTTACGCGTATGCATTACATGTAACATAATAAAAATTAGACATAGCTTTAAGACGTAAAAGGGCAATATCACTGATGAATATCATCGAGTCGGATGAATCAAGTTCCGGCCGTTTTGAACGCGCAATTTTAAGTTGACAGTAATTTCAGCGAGTCCATGTGAGTATTTTTGTGAAAAAGGAAAAATGGAGTATCGAACAGTCATTAAATATATGTTCTTGAAAGCCAATACGCCTACGCAAATCAAAGTTGAGGCGGACTCTGACTGTATAACCTGCACCATCATTTGCAATAGTGAAATTTTGCCACAAACAAGCATACGGCCCATCTGATGGTAAAAATAAATGATTACCGTAGCCTATGGACGCCTGAAACACCAGGGTGTTACGTGCGCGTTGGCGACCCTAAATTTAGTCGTAGCCGTAAGAGCTCGGGAGCTGATGAGAGATCGCGACGTCCAAAAAATACAATTACAAACGAAAACATTCCTAATGTTCACCACAGTATTAGGCGACTGTCGAATTAAAGTGAAAAAGATAGCAGAGATAAAGAAGATCTACAAAGAATCGACATGTTCTTTGTAAATAATATATCAAATATTAAATCAAGCTTTAAACATGATAAAACTAACCGCGTGTCGGGTGCACCGTTTGCTCACGTTAGACATAAAACGTGTTCCAATGAGAATTTACAACTTTCCTTTCCAAAATTTCTGTTGGCACAGTTCAAGGGTCTTGCCCCTGAATCTGAATTTTGGCGCCGATTAATTACTATAGATGAAACTTGGACACATACGCTCAAAATAAAAATACAGTCAAAACTATGGACTTTAATCGCGTGGCGAGACGCGGGACGCACGTCGGGGACGTAACTCGTGTACAAACCTCAATACATTTATATGACGGTAGTAGCTTGGAGACTAAAATAGTAGAGTATCGAAGATTTCAAGTAGCCTTGTGCACGATGTGCCTTAAGTGTGAGAGCACAGCTAGGGGTTCCAACCTCGGCTCGGGCCGTCGTCACTTAGATCTCCGTTTGAATCTGACGGGGGATAAAGAATAAGAATGTATACCTCTGTCTCCTTGTGGTCTAGTAGCGAGAACCGCCTGTCGAGCGCGGTGAGGTGCGCGAACGTGAGGTGCAGGTGTGCGTGGAGCCGCAGCAGCGCCAGCTCGCGGAAGTGCGCCGCGTACATGTGCGCCACCACGTGGAACAGCAGCCGCACCACGCGCCGCACCACGCCCTCGAACTGCGCCGGGAACTCGTTCGCTGACGAACACCACACATACAACATATTAACATACGTAATAATAACCTACGTTACACATTATAACATTCAATGTTTTCAAGTCAAAGTCCCGTCAAAATAGGTCCAGCTGTTTGAAAGATGTTTTTATTTGTAAGTATCGTATATACTTTCATGTGCATTTAGTGAATAGCTATTAATTGGAAATTACGAACTAATAAAAATATTTATTAAAAATCTACTAATTGCTCATTATTATCAAAATATCCTGCATTTTAACCCGAAGTTGTCATCTGCGTGGTATTTAGTGTTAGAATCACTAGTTATGATGACGACTTAGGCTTGGAAGCCGGCTACCGGAAGAGAAACCCCAAGTAGCGCCCGTGACTTGTGACACGGGTGTAACTTTTTAATGATGAATTAACACTCACCTTCACTACTTGCAGCTTCCCCCCGGGCCCAACTAAGTCCGGGATAAACCCGTCTCTAATACAATTCACTTTGATATCCAAAATACAACCGGCACGGTCCGTGCTCGTCGACCGAATGTCGTGGTTCACAATCTCAAACACAACTCAAAATACAAACTCTCTCCTCTTATACAGAGATGCGTGGAGGTTATACGCAACTATAATAGTTTAACGATACCGAGTAATAATGAAACTATCTTTTAATATTTTTAAATTATTGTATTTTTCTCCAATATCAAGAGGTGAACCGTAAAGCCCAATTTACACTCAGCCCGAGTGAGCAGGCAAGTGAGCAGCGCGAGAGTGTAAACACGATACTTCCCAAGCCATTGGCGCTGCTACTCGCGCTGCCCGGCGCTCCCTCAATAGTCGGTTTTTCAATTGGTGTGTTTACATTCAGTCCTCTCGCTCAGTTGTCGCCCGGCGTTTTAAGCGGAAGGTAAGGAAGAGTCGCCCGATAAATAACTATGAGGGCTGAGTGTAAACGACACGCATTCGCGTCGACGCTGACGCGGCAATATTTCCGGCAGCGCGAGTGGCAGGGGAAGCGGCTGAATGTAAACGTAACATAACATTAGTAATACCTAGGCTCGTGTTGTAGAATGCCCAATGCTCACCGTATTTTGTGGGGAATATGGTTTCATCATTGATTGTCTTCTGCGTGTGTGTCATGACGTAGTCGACGTACTGCGGCGCGGCGACGCGCGACTTCTTGCCGCGCTCGTCGTACCACGCGTAGGTGCGGCCGCCGGGGCCGGACATGTCCGGACACGACACCGCCGTGCAGAACTCCGACACCGTGCCGTACAGCAGGTTCACGTGGTCGAACAGCGCCAATGCTGCAACACGCCACACAAACACATGTAAATCACCTCATAGCCGTGAATCACACTGATATGATCTCATGTTGAAATTGCATTATCGATCAAGATCAAAATAAACAATCTGGACAGTACAGGAATGCGATTTGAACGTGAAGAATGAAACGCGGTGGTGGTATTTTGGTTTTATTTGATACTCTATTTGTACAACAGGTTTTTTCACTGGATATGCACAATATTAATATTACTCACTATTAGGTAATTCCCACAGTATAACAGCGCTGTGACAACATATTCAGAGTATGTCATATATGTTAGTGATGACTAAATGTTAGAGACAATTTTACAGTCACTTACACCATTGTTCCATATTCCAGTCAACCTGTCTTCATCTTTACATAGTATAAAATAAAGTCGCTGTCGCTGTCTGTCCCTATGTATGCTTAAATCTTTAAAACTATGCAACGGATGTTGAAGCGGTTTTTTAATAGGTAGATTGATTCAAGACGAAGGTTTATATATATATTAATTTATATGGCAAAACAACGTTTGCCTGGCCAGCTAGTGAACATATATATACTAACTGTGTGAGGCGAGCCACTCGTTGTAGTCGAGCCCGTGCGGCAGGTCGACCAGCTGGCGCATGTCGAGCTCGGGCAGCTTCCGCTCCAGGAGCGCCTCCTGCAGGTACAGCTTGGGGTCCCCGGCCGGCTCGCCCTCCCGTTCCTTGCGCCGCGCCTTCCTGGAACACATAACAATTTTCCATAAGTAAAGATCTCACTATAACCTATCTATATCATATATATAAATAAATGTCTACACTTCTCTAAACCACCATTGCATTATCATCCATAAAAAAACCATAGCGCACTAAAGTAGTTTAGAAAAGTTAATGGATCTTCATGGGAATTAATTGTACAATATAATATAACAAAAAACATTTTTGATCTACATTTCAATAAATTGAAACGAAATAATAATACGTGCATAAGAGGTCGGAGGGTACTACATGAGTAAATGAGTTTGTGTTTGACGAAAGAAATGCTTTGCAATGAACACCACAATGAATCGATTACAACAAACCATGAAATAAATTGATTGTTGTTACCATTACAAAATAATGTCCATGCTTAAATCAACATTCCTTGAATATATTTATGATTTATGGAAACGATAACTATATTTACGATTGAATATTTTCATTAGGAATCTAATAGTTGCAGTTCTCAAATAGAATCAGTTCATCGACTGATAAGAAATTTAGAAAGTTTAGAAATAGAAATTATATTTATGAATTGTAAGTTAGATATTTTCTACAAAAACGTTATTATCAGTTATAAATTCTTTGATCTAAGATGACTGACATAGTGATCTATCAACGTACAGCCGAAACCACTGGTTGGATCGTGCTAAAATTTGGCATGCAGGTAGATGTTATGACGTAGGCATCCGCTAAGAAAGGATTTAGATAAATTCCACCCCTAATGGGATAAATTAACGCGAGCAAAGCCGCGGGCAAAAGCTAGTTTTATAATAAGCCTTTTTACGAAGGAAATATTTTATAAGACATGTTTTCTGGCAAATTGAGTACTTTCTGGTAAATTATTGTTAAAATTAAAGCAGGTACGAATACAATAAAAGGTGAGCGGGGATCTAATATTGTTTATTGTGGAGCGTCAAAAGAGAACGTTGCGTATCACGTAGGACACAGAGTATGTACACAAGGCCACTGCGCCGGTGGACCGTGGACCGTGGGCCGTATGGTGGCTAGTCATCCACTGACCGTCCATTGTGACGTGTGCCATGTACCAGTGTTGTATCATACATTAAACGATACACGGCTATTCTCCATAGAGAACATAATAAACAAGGCCCTATTTACAACACAGAGTTTATGCTTCAAACTAGGTGTAAGTCAAGTTTGCAGTCGATAATATATCCCTATCAGGGATGTTAGGGAGCTGCGTAACCGCAACGGATATCTGATATGAAAAAATGTCCGTAACCGTATCTGAATCCGAAATAAGTGTCGGATAATATTGGATAGGGGCGGAGTCTAATGAGACGTTATGTAACCATTTTATTAGATATTTATATTTTACATTTGAAATTCCTTAAAAAAATAATTTCCGTAACCGAAATTATCCGAAACTAACGGACAATCCGAAATAATTTCATATCCGCATCCGCATCCGTATCCGGTACAATAATCATTTCTATATCCGAAACCTATCCGTATCAGAAATTTCATATCCATAACATCCCTGATCCCTATGTCTGCAGACATATCTCGTGGACGAAAAAGGTACTTCGTAAACATGCAGGAAGCCACGAAATATCTGATGTACCTGATGAACGTGAAATGATAATGAGAAATTAAATGATAACCACTATGACAGCCATATATACAGATTGTTACAAATGAAAAAAATTGTAATTGTCAAAATATATGATTAAAAATTAAAATACTAAAGTTCGATTACGCGTATTGTCTTTTACAATTGTATTTATACAACTATAAAGTTTAAGTGCACATTTGGTTTGATGTTTGACGGCCTCAGTAGTCTAGCAATTTTGTTGCGGGTTCGATTCCTCGCACAATACGAACATTTGTATTGAGTAAGATTGTTTATATTGTCTGAGTGTGTTTGTAGTTCTTATCTATACATATAAATAAAATTAAAGTATCTGTTTGTCATATTGAAATAATGCTTTTTACTACATGCATATGAATATAAATACGGTACATACACCAAAATATATTTTTTTTCAATTTTTGTCTGTCTGTCTTTTTGTTCCGGCTAATTCCTGAAATGGCTGGACCGATTTTGACGGGACTTTTATTGGCAGGTAGCTGATGTAATAAGGAGAACTTAGGCTACTTTTATTCTAGAAAAAATCTCAAATTAATTTGTTAAATTCCACACGGACGAAGTCGCGGGTACAGCTAGTGTACTATATATCATCTATATATTTATAATAATTTATTTGAGTAGACCCGTAACGCAAGCTGTGCTTAGTTCAGAACTAGATGGCGCAGTGTCAAGTTACCAAAGTTCATACTTGGTAGTAATTTATTAACTTAAATATATAATATGTATTTTATGATATTTCAATTGTATTTGGTGAGGCGAGTTGTCACCGCCCGCCGGCCGCGGTGGTGCCGAGTGGTGCGGGCGATGCCTGCACTCGTCCGTGACCGCAATAATTAATGCACCACCGGTACATATGAGCACGATTCATTACGAACGTTGACCCGCCGTGTTCAAATGTCAATTTCATTATGATCTGCTGCAAAATATTCAAAATATTGTAAACAGTTTTTTTTGGTATATGTACTGTATTTATATTCATAGTAAAAAACTGTAATTTCAATATTACAAACAGACACTCCAATTTTATTAATATGTATAGATGTATAGGCTAGTTAACCCGCGCAACTACATCTGCGTTTCATTTCCCCACCTTGTGCAATATTTTTCATTGCAGCTCCGCTTCTATTGGTCGTAGCGTGTCTAATGTTATATACTGGGGGGGGAAGGGATTGTTAGTAATGTGGTCTAATGACCCCATTACGAGCAATGTACCACGTATGGTTGACCTCCACGCGGTTCCCTCTGGAAACCATCGTGACAAATTCTTGGTGAATTTGTTACGATGTGCTAACTGACCTGATATCATCCCCCACAGGTGCCCCGTCAGCGTAAACCGTTAGCGGCGGCGGGTGCACCATTCCAGTATCATCGATAAAAAAATGTCCAGGGCTTTCAGGTACATAACCTGAAAGCCCTCGTCGACAAATGAACTGTCCAACACAAAAAGAATTTTCTTATAAATTAGCGCGTTCAAACAAACAAACTCTTCAGCTTTATATTAGTACTAGTACATATAGATAAGTCCGAGTTTTCACGTGAAACCGAGTGAAACCTTACACACAAACAGATATTAGTTTTCGCCTCGTCACGATTCTACGATTTCAAGATAAATAAAGTGCAATCTTATATATAAAATTCTCGTGTCACAATGTTAGTTACCAATTACCATACACCTCCCAAACGGCTTGATCGATTTTTATGAAATTTTTATCTGTAGATCTGAAAATCGGCTACTATCTATTTTTCATACCCCTAAGTGATAGGGTTGTCCAACCCTAACTTATTTTTTTATTTTTTGGGCAACATTTTTTATTTATTTTATTTTATTATGTGTCATTAAAAATACATACAACGCTAAATTTTCACCCTTCTATCACCAGCCCCTATTTTTTAATAGCGTTATTAGTTTATATGGCAAAACAACGTTTGTCGGGACAGCTAGTAGCTGTATAAATTCCTTTAATAATAAGAAATTGGGCAAATACACTCTGTATGTTACCTCTAAAATCTAATAGCATGAACAGATCAATCAATATCCGACTTTTTGCTAAACACCAACGTACTACCTATCCCTTATCCTAGTTCCATACCTGAGTCAATACTACTCAATACTCAATATTTATTCAAATTCAAAATATTTTTATTCATGTAGGTCTATTACAGATTCTTATCATATGTCAAATCTACCGTCAGTTCGGATGATTACGAGATGACAAGAAACTCAGCTCGTATTCTTTTCAAATTAATATTATACATGTTTACAATATTACAGATTCATTTTTAAATTCCAAATAGAGTAACCATATATTGCATTCTATAATATTACAATGAAATGAGTCTACTTTTTATCCTGGTTATTTAATGTCGATATCCCATTCAGAGTACAAATGATGTCGCGGGAAAACTATATATTTACTAAATTATCAAGAAAGAGTGAGATGAAAATTCTCACTCTTTCTTGATAATTTAGTAAGTAGTTGAGTTTCTTATCATCAGCAGTCATACATTTTAGCGACATGCTCATACAATATTCAGATACAATAAGTAATTGTTGATACATATATAACGGTGAGCAGGTACATGGTAGTTTGACGTTAGTGTCTGACTAATAAAGGATATCTAATAATAAAATAATCTGTGGTTTAATAGCAAAAGGTTGACAGCGACGTAATTGCTCGACTCATTATCTGAATAAACAGATAAGATAGAAAAACTGTTCCAGTTTATTGAATACATCAAACCGGCCGACGCGACGTGATCATGGATTTTAATTCCTTGAAATAAGACTACAATTGAATGGAAAGTGGAGATGAGATAAGGGTGTGAGGAAGTGTGATGAGTGTGCGAGGGTTGCGCGTAGCGTTGCCAGACGTCTGTATTTTACACTTAGTTTAAAGCGTCCCGGCGGGACTGACTCTGTCCCGTATTCGAACCGTGCTGCGTTTTTTATTATTAAATCGATCGATCGATGCTAGACCAAAAATACTCGTTTGTAGCCCTAATTTAATAAAAAGCAAGTTGATAATCGTTTTTAATTACGATTATAATTGTATTCATTTTTATAAACATGTTAAAACCAATAAAAATAGAGGACTCGCTACTCAGAAAAATAAAAAAAAAAAAAAAAGAATTACATGGGACAAATAAAAAACGAAATTATATAGTGATATATAATTTTGTTTTTTATTTGTACCAGATAAAAAACTAAATTCCCGTATTTTTTTGCCTATTTAAGCATTTGCCCCTTATAGGTAGAAAAAAATCTGGCAACTCTAATTGCGCGTGCAGCGAGAGGGACGCGCGCTCACCTGAATGCGACCGCCGAGTAGAGGTAGGACGGCAACGAGAACAGAACACCCAGCACTAC